CCTCCCTGGGGGGGGGGCAGGAGGCAGAAGCTTGATCCTGCAGCAGCCAAGCTTCCACGCTCCCCCGCTTCCCTCCCCAGCGTGGTGTTTTCCTGCCCCTCCCCCTCCCTCTCCCTGCCGCTGATCAGCAGTTGGCCCTTGCGAGGGAGGGGGGAGCGAGGCAGAGCCGAGCATCAGCATGCTCGCTGCTCCGTAGAGCAGGCAGAGAAGAGGTAGGGACGGGACCTTGGGGAAGGGGGTGGAACAGGGCATATCCCTTCCAGCCCCTGCCATGAGCTGAGCACCCCAGCCCTCTGCCCTGACCCCCCACACACCCAGCCTTCTGCCCTGACCCCTGAACCCCCCCACATACACACCTAGCCTTCTGCCCTGCACCCCCCCACACACCCAGCCCTCTGCCCTGACCCCCCCCCCCCAGGTCTGGGGTCCCGGCTGCCGGCCCCTTGCCAGCTGGAGTCCCACTGCAGGCCCCGCTCAGCCCGCTGCAGGCCTAGGTGAACAGCACTCCAGGCTGGAAGCAGGCTGGCGGCGTAAGATCAGCATTTTAATTTAATTTTAAATGAAGCTTCTTAAACATTTTGAAAACCTTGTTTACTTTACATACAACAATAATTTAGTTATATAATATAGACTTAAAGAGAGAGAGAGCTTCTAAAAACGTTAAAATGTATTACCGGCATGCAAAACCTTAAATTAAAGTGAATAAATGAAGACGCGGCACACCACTTCTGAAAGGTTGCCTACCCCTGCTCTAATGGCTTGTCTTCACTGTAGCTGTTAGCTCTTGTTAGTTTGCTCATTACTGTACTCAAAGCTAGGTAAGTTCCACTGAGAGTGACCACCACACTAGAAAACAACACTGGAGTTGCACAGAATAATTGGATTTGCTACTGATGAGACTCTTGTAATTTGAGCTGTTGCATTCACACAGCATTACTAGATTCAGCATCACTCAAGCATCAACCCACCCACTCCCTCAATGGGCCAGCTAGCTTGAGTTTAAAGCAACAATTAACTTGAGCTACAGATTTGTATGTGGATGGAAGTCAAGTTAGGTAACAGTTACCCCAGTGGTTCCCAAACTTTAACAACCTGTGAACCCCTTTCACTAAAATGTCAAGTCTCGTGAACCCCCTCCTAAAAATGAATATTTCCAGGGATTTTCTCCTTTATTTGAGTATACATTATAAAAGCAGTGATCTTGGGAATATAAAATTTGTTTTTATGACCTGTTTATTACACACTATGTTATTAATTATTAGTTATCATTACAGTATTTTTATTGCATTATGAAAACAGCAACACTCTTCAAAGATCTCACTTTTGTAGCTTGTATCACTTTGAATAAGCCTGTTGTAAGACAAGGCTCCTATGTTTCAGATGTGAAATCATGAAGGCATTTAAGAAGCCAACTCAAAGAGTTCCTCCTACACAAGCATTCAGGTCTTGAGCAGTCCAGGCAAACAATGCACGTTACAACAAAGCTTAAAATTGTTCATAATAATTTTAAAAACAATACTAGCTGCCTATATAATTTTAAAAACAGCAAAAAATATCCACCTCCCTTTCCATTTCTTATAAAGAGTCTTGAAGTTTAAATCTCCTCAGTGTGATAGCAATGCTTGCTTTGATCTGCTTAGCTCTTGGAAGTCCAGGGGCTCCAGGCTGCTGGTCCCATGCTGCCCAGGATCCCTAGGGACATCTCTTACCGCCATTAGAGAACTTTTTCCCGAGAACCCCCTGTAACATTTTGCAAACCCCCAGGGGTTCACGAACCCCAGTTTGGGAACCACTGACTTACCCTAAAGGTGTCTTCACAACAGTTAGGTCATGTCTACACTACAGCTGGGAGTGTGCTTCCCAGTGCAGGTAGATAGGTGTGCTAGCTCAAGCTAATCCACTAAAAATAAGTGTGGCAGCCGCTAGTCTCCTGAGTACATACCCACAGTGTCTGATATTATTGTACTCGGGTGGCTAGCCTGTGCCACCCTGGCCACACTGCTATTTTTAGCATACTAGTTCAAGCAGAGCTAGTGTATGTGTCTGCTCACACTGGGAAGCATGCTTCTAGCTGCACTGTAGATTTACCCTTATTTATAAAGACTGTGAAGCCCTAATCTTGTAAACACACATGCTTAACTTTTATGAATAATCCTGTTGAAGTAAATGTAAGTATTTTCAGTGGGGTCTGTGCCTTCTAAAAATAGAAGTTCATTTTGATACTGTATCAAGATTTTTTTTCAGCAACTTTTATTTTGGAAATAAGTTTGGTCACTCAGCTTCTTTGTATACGGTGCTTGTGTATTGTATGGATGTGTATATACATGTAAAAAGATATATTTATTTCTTGTAAATGTTTGTTTTAATTTTCAGTATGTCCCAGTCAAGGGAGATCATGTGATAGGCATAGTGACTATCAAGGCAGGTGACTTATTCAAAGTGGATGTTGGTGGAAGTGAGCAAGCTTCTTTGTCCTACTTGGCATTTGAAGGTGCAACCAAAAGAAACAGACCAAATGTGCAGGTAATGTTCTTGTTATATATATTGACAGTATTGAAGCCTTTAAATACTTTATAAAACAGGCTATTTTCACTTTCTTGCGAAGTGACAATTTAAAATATACTCAAATATTTGCCTGTATCCCTTAGTCATAAGATGTTCTGATATGTGATAGATTTTCCATGACAGGTACAAACTTCTTTCTGTAGTGGCTTTGTTTCCTTCCCTTTCTCCTAGGCCTTTATGTTGGGCTATGGCAGAGGAAGTCAGTTACAGATCATGGATTTTCTTCTTTTGATCACTGACTGTCACAGCAGTAGGTGCCAGGCTTTGCCATTTGTTGTACAGAGGATGTTGTAACTGTATCTTCTCAGATATTACTGGCAGAAGATGGCAGTGGAATAGCTCTTCAAAGAGCATCAGAAATCAGTTTAGGCCAGGGGTCTCAAACTCAAATGACCATGAGGGCCACATGAGGACTAGTACATTGGCCCGAGGGCCGTATTTACTGACACCTCCTCCCTGCCGCCCTCGGCCCTGCCCCCACTCCACCCCTTCCATGAAGCCCCGCCTCTTCCCACCCCTTCCCTGCCCCCATTCCAACCCCTTCTCCGAAATCCCCACCTCAACTCCGCCCCCTCCCTGCTCCCAGGGAGTGTAGGAGGGGTGTGGTGGGGGCTCAGGGCAGGGAGTTGGGGTGAGGGGTGCAGGAGGGGTGAGGGGTGCAGTGTGGGGTTCAGGGCAGGGGTGCGGGGTGCAGCAGGGGACTGAGGGCAGGTGGTTGGGGTGCAGGAGGCGTGTGGGGTGCAGCTGGGGGCTCAGGGCAGGGGTTTGGTGTGCAGGAGGGGTGCGGGCTGCAGCAGGGGTTTCGGGGCAGGGGGTTGGGGTGTGGCAGGGGTTTCGGGGCAGGGGGTTTGGCTGCAGGAGGGGTTCAGGGGGCGGGCTGCGGCCCAATGTGCACCGGGGCAGGCTCCCTGTGCCGCTCCGGGAAACAGACGGAACCTGGGGAAGGAGGGGCTCAGGGGCGTGTGGCTGTTGCTTCAGGCACCGCCCCCAGCAGCTCCCATTGGCTGCGGGTCCCCATTCCTGGCCAATGGCAGCTGCTGGGGGCGGTGCCTGAAGCAACAGCCACACACGCCCCTGTGCCCCTCGTTCCCCAGGTTCCGGCTGCTTCCCGGAGCGGCGTGGGAGCAGGGCAGGCAGGGAGCCTGTCCGGGAGCTCGTCAGGCCGGAGCCCGCCCCCCTGCAGCCGAACTCCCTGCCCTGAAACCCCTGCTGCACGCCTCCTGCACCCCGACTCCCTGCCCTGAAACCCCTGCCGCACCCTGACCCCCTGCTGCACCCCTCACCCCTCCTGCACCCCACACCCCAACTCCCGGCCCTGAGCCCCTGCCACACCCCACCCCCTCCTGCACCCCGTGGGAGCAGGGAGGGGGCAGGGTTGGGGTGGGGATTTCAGGGAAGGGGTTGGAAGAGGCGGGGCAGGGGTGGGTCGTCTTAGAAGGGGTGGAGTGAGAGCGGGGCCGAGGGCGGTGGCGGGGGGGAGGTGTCAGTAAATGAGCCCTCGGGCCAATGTACTAGTCCTCGTGTGGCCCTCGTGCGGGTCAGGCCGGAGCCGCTCTAGGTAAACTGTGGGGAAGGGCGGGGGGCTGCAAGAAGCTCATGGGCCACAGAAAATAACCCCACGGGCCACCGCGTTTTTGAGACCTCTGGTTTAGGCCTAAAATTCACTTTTTATAAAACAGGCTCTTATGAAATGTGACTGTCATGCTGTCTGGAGAAGGTCCCGATTGTGTGTTCCTATCTCAGGGCAGACTTTAAAACAGGGTAGACTCTTTCCCCCTACCCCCACCCAAACCTGGTGATGTGTTCTATAATTGGATTTCACCAAGGCAGTGATCCAGGAGTTGACATTTGTTACTGGAACAGTCTTACCAGGGAATCACAGACACTCCCCTTAGACTCTCCAGTCTATCTTGCCACCCAGACAAGCTGGACTAATGGTCCAGCAAAAGTCACTCCATGTTCAGGTTGCTTTGTTGCTTTCAGTCCAAGAGACATTTATCCCTGGTAATTTGGTATCCAAGATCTTATACCAAAGACAATGCCTGTAGCCAGTCCTGTAATAATATCTAAAGATTTGTTAACTAGGAAAAAGAAATAAGAGTTACTTACAGGTTAAAGCAAGTAAGTGTGTACATATAAATTAGTTATAACCTAAATCCTCAGCGCATGAGATCTGTAATGCTCTGTCAATTCGAAGTGTCCTTCAGGGCAGACCCAGGGGTAACCCCTGGGGATCTCTGCCTCAGCTTAGACTCTCTGGCCCTGTCAGAGTTCAAACAGCAAAGAGGGAGGCAGAACATTTTCCTGAGACTTTATTTCCTTCATTCAGCTTCCAAGTCCACATGATGAGCTTTCTTGCACATAGGATTTCCAAGATGGGATAGGGCCATTAACTAATCCATTGTATCTCAATGTTCCTTGATTGCCCATCTGATTTTGATAGCCCTACTGGGTGGGGAGTGGGGGAATGATTCCAGTGCCTGGGTTCAGAAGTTCAGTGCAAACATTTTCAAAGTTTTATAAAGAAAAATGTAGATATTTTCTTATAGCATAGAACAGGGGTTCTCAAACTTCATTGTACCGCGACCCCCTTCTGACAACAAAAATGACTACATGACCACAGCAGGGGGACAGAAGCCTGAGCCTGCCTGAGCCATAGGCGCTGACTCTGTGGGTGCTCTGGGGCTGGAGCATCCACAGGGAAAAATTAGTGGGTGCTCTGCACCCACCAGCAGCCAAGAACCTAGGGATGAGTTTAACAAAAAAGATATACAGACATGATACAGTTTCTCTGAACATTTCCCATCACTTGTTTTAGGTGGGAGATCTTATTTATGGTCAATTCGTTGTAGCCAATAAAGACATGGAACCAGAGATGGTCTGTATAGACAGCAGTGGAAGAGCGAATGGAATGGGAGTAATTGGACACGAAGGCCTGTTGTTTAAGGTTTCTTTAGGTCTAATAAGAAAGTAAGTATTACAATTTTTAACTTCCCAGGAATGAGAGAAGCTGAATTTTGTCAATTTTTTGAGCTGTGACAGATGAGTGAAACTCTTTATCTTGTTGGAAACTGGTATGCACCCTAATATTTAATGCTGTAGCATTGGATGTCCATAACCAGCAGGTCTGAGCAGTATGACAAGTGGAGTAACAGATGTGTATTATATTGTTGTCAACTTTATTGCCTGACAAAGTTATTTGATCTTTGTGAATCTAAATTTGTGATCTGCATACAAATATAATATAGTATAAAGAAAGGGGAAATGAATGATAAAATACAATAAGTAGAAATCAACAGATGTCACAAAACTAAAAATGCTCCTCTCTGTTCCTCAATTACAAACTGGCATTTTAAATTAATAAGCCTCTGGTATGTTTGCTGCTTCCTTGAGAAAGATGTACTCTAACCATATTCTATTGTAGACTTTACCTTTTAACTTTAATAGGTGGTAGTGTATTGAAGTGGAATTTCTTTTCTACTTGATCTTGTTGCTACATTATTTAGAAAATATTGTGAACCCGATCCATCAGAAACTTGCTTTTGTCACCTATGGAGGCTAATCATTTTTTCTGTGAACATATTCAGTCTTCAGTGGTAGAGTAGAATCTGTATATAGCAACTGGTCTGAGAATGACATCAATTCCTTGAACACAGTCTTCACACAGCCTTCAGTGGCATTCTCAAGCATCCTTAGAAATCTGTCTTCCAAAGAGAACCAAGAAAAGGACTATGAAGAAACAAACAAAAAATCAGTTTCCTCCCTCCAAACTCTGTGTAGGGGATGAGGGAAGGGAGGGGCAATAGCAAAAAACCACTCTCTGTTTAAAGATTTTTAATTAGCACCTCTTTCACATAGAGTCTGGATGAGCTGTTCAGGTTAGAATAAATCCTATTAACTGCTCAGTCACAAATGAGGAGCTAAACATCAACTTAATTAAATCTGGTTCACAAACACTAGACTGTCTTCATTATGATTGTTGCACGGTGTCACTGCAGGGTGATTTTTGGATTTTTTTTTTTAATTTAATCTTAACTCTTAATTTCGTCTTGGTTTTGGAATTTGTTTAAATTAAACTCCTACATGAGCACTAAACAAGAAATTCAAAATATTACTATGTTTTATATAGTTTGAATCCATGCTTTCAACTCAACTCAGCCTTAACTATTGAAGTTGCTACACATGCCTTCATACTACTGGTGGTATTAGCAGTGGTCCTGTTATTGACTAGCAACACTGAAATGTATTTGTTACACAATAATTTCTTCTTTTGACATCCCTTTTATTTTGTTTTCAGGCTTTTAGCTCCCAATTGTGAAATCATTCAGGAATTGGGACAACTGTACCCTTTTGAGATAGTGTTTGGAATGAATGGAAGAATATGGGTAAAGGCAAAAACAATTCAACAGACTTTAATTGTGGCAAATATCTTGGAAGCCTGTGAGCACATGACAGCAGAACAAAGAACACAAGCATTTGCCAAGCTATCAGAGAGATGATGTAAAGAAAACATCTCGGGTTCATTTCAGGCTTTGCAATTATTGTAATATTTTTGTATTCAGATGTATATTAACTCATTTTGAAACTTTGCGTCTCTCCCATTTAATTTTTTTTACCCACCAGTCCCTCTTTCCTGATCCCTCAATCTGTTTAGTCTTCCGCATTCAAGCATTCTCTTCGCTTTCTTAGCCGCAGTGTTTGATTATTATGAAACAAATAGATGTAATCTTTTAAAGTCTCTCACAATAAAGAGTTGTTGCAGAGCACAGTGACTTTTGCAATACAGAATTCAGTAGTAACACTAATTCTTGCATCAAATGAGAGCAGAAAACTCAATTGATCACCTACACGCATTTGGTGTTATTTCCACCAAGAGGTTCTACATATTGCTTTCTTTGCTGGTTCTTCAAGCTCCTCAGTGTTTTAAGCCTTAATATAAGGAGCCAGTTCTTCTGCCTACCTTAACAAAAAATCCAGATGGGACAGGCCAAATGCTAAAATAGAAGGTGAGGAAGACATGAGGATGGAAGTTCATGTTTCTTTAAGCTACGGGGGAGGTAAGGCACTAGAAATGACATACTGAACCAAAAAAACAGTTGATCCAGAATTACATGATGGTTCAAACAGCCTTTAAAGAAAAAGCCAAGCAAATTACTCCATACTCCTAGAAATATATGGCTAGCAATAATTAAGCAAAAAGATTAGTGTAAAATACATCATCTTATTCCACAGTAATTAGTAAGTGTCCAAAATTGTTGCGATTATAGTGCTACATACCCGCCCTCCCACTGGGGAACACTTTATGCCCTGAGTCATATTTGATTACCATTATCTTAGCATACACAGCTGCAAATGTTGGCTATAAAATTATTCAGCTCTATTTGAATTCTTTCCACAAGCATGACTTCAATCTTCTGTGGAAGTAAATTCCACAGGTTGGATGTACCAGTGCTGTGTGAAGTATTTGTTTTAAACTTACTTGCCACTGAGTGAGTGACTGTCTTGTTATCAGACTGCATAACTAAAGGACCGTCAGTTTTCATTACAACCTGCTGTTGTTTCTTGTCTTGCACTTAAATTGTATGTTCTCTGGAGCAGGAATGGTCTTTTTGTTCTGTTTGTACAGTGCCTAGCACAATGGAGTCATTGTCCCTAATTGGGGCTGCTGAGCATTAAGATAATACTACTAATAATGTTAAATACCCCTGAATAACTCATGGGGGGACACCACTTCAGGACCTTTCTCAGACTCTTCTACAAGTGTCCCTCATCCTGCAAGTTTGTGTTAGCTAAAGCTTACTAATTCACAGTCATTGGTTCCATTGCATACCAATCTGGTGCTGTATAAGCCTTAGTCATTTTTATCCTACAATAATATGTTCAGAAGCCTGCTGAGTCAGTCATGCTGCATACATGAATCCCTCTCTGGCTTCCAAAAGATAGGGATTTGGAAAACACCCTTCTTCAGCTCTTGACAATGTGGTTTTAACCATTGCCTTTCAATGCTGGTTGAGAGATGAGACCTACTCATTCTTTCACGGGATTGTGAGAGGAATCTCAGTGGATTCTTTGCCTGGCATCTTGTTGAAAGAGCGAAGATACCCTAGAAAGTCGTCCTCTATCTTTTCATGAGTGAGATAGGGTTCTTGCTGGCACTTCCTGCTGACCCACCACAGAGATGGAATTGATGCCAAAACACCAAAATATTTGGGCCGAGCATGGCAAGTGGTGCTTATCTCCTTCTCTCCCTGACAGTTCTTGGAGGGAGCAGAAGAGTGACCTTTTCAGCCAGCGCTGAGGCAGAAGGCTCTGAGGCATAATTTTCTATTCCCATACCAAAGATGATGGATTCTTTGGAGCCCAGTGCTCAGACTCCCTAAATTTGGAAACCTCTCTCCAAACAAAGGACCTGGATTCTGCCTTAGAGTGCCATTTCGTGCTGTTTGCATGCTTGCCTGCTGGCTTTACTGCTTTGTGATTTTAAAAAAGATTAAATCATTTTTTTATCAGCTTCTTTAAGCACTTTCTCCAAAGCATGATATGTAATAGCAGGACTAATCAAGAAATGGAAATACATTAATATAACATGAAAGGACTCAGGATGCTGTACACTCATTACAGGTTTCTATCATAACACTGGGAGTGTTGTCCTTTTAGCATAGATGATGGGTATCTGTTGTTACAAATCTTAGTGATGAGCTATGTAAGGGCATGTTAGGGAAAAATTAGGCAAGTGATACATGGAAAGTTTTCAGAAAAACATTCTTCAAATGCAATCAAGCATGCTGCTGTGTCAACAGATTATGCAGAACAAAGGAAAATAAGGCAGGCTGGGTTTTCTTTTTATTAGCATTATTAAAAGATCTAACAGGAAAAATACTGTTTGTTCTTTAATGTTGGTATCTGCCTGGTCTGTGCAGTGTTTTCTCAGCACATTTAATTCAAAATAGTTAACACAATTTTTAATGAAAGAATCTATTGAGGGGTTGTATTGGAAAATGAAACTATCACTGATCACAAGGAGCCTCCTTCACTGAGATAATGAAGACAGCAGGAGTGCAGTTAAAAATATATATATTTTTAAAGTTAACTTGTTTTCCAGATAGCTTTCCTGCAGTGACCTAGATGCCTTTCTACCATCATATGGGAAATAAGGCAGTAGCAGCCCAAAGAGGGCCAAAATAACTGCTAGAATAAGATGGTGAAATTCCTCTAACTGCAGAGCAGCTGAACCCTTTCCCCAGCGGCAAGTGTGGCCTTGAGCCTTTGTGATGAGGGGGTCTGTTAGCCATGCTGTCTCCAGTCCTTTGGCTCTACCATTTTAATTATGCTACTGGGCCCTTTTTATTCTGGATCTACCACTGAACTAATAGTATGAAGTTTTCTCTTTGCAGTGTAAAATTAAGAAAACTGCCTTGCTTATACTCAAAATATATTGGCTCTTTTTTTTTTCCTGGTGTAAGTCCCATGAACTCAATTAAGTTACACCAGGGACTAATTTTGTTTAATTTATGCCCCACCCCTCTGCAAAAATGTCAAAGTTTAATTAGGAAATATGTGATAAGCTCTGAATAACAATGGATTTCTACAGTAAGTAAAACTAAAAGGACAAAAAAGCTGAAAAGAGATGTTCGTTGTTTCTGAGCAATAAAACTATCAACCAGATCTGAAGGGCTTAACTTTTTAGTAGCCAGTCTTGTAACTTTTGTAGTCTTCTCCAGATACGGAACTCTAATACAAAAAGGTCTGTCTTGGTTTGTTTTGTTGCCTTCCCAAGGCACCATAATTTAATGATTAAAATGAAGGCTGCAGCTTCAGGAGCCCAGGGGTTCTGCCTTTTGACAAACAGCAGGGCCAGCCTCTTGTAATGTTATACTATGATGGTTCTCAGGGTACCCAGGAGTGAGAGTCTCTTGTTGCTACCCTGCCTCCAGGAGGAGGGAGATTTGTTTGTGCTTAACTAGGTATCAGCTCCCTGACACCACCAGCCTGTTAGCCACCCAAGCACTCTCCTTCGGCCCGTGGCAGCCCTTATTTTGCCCTGCAGGCTAACAGTAAGTGCACTCTAGTGCATGAGTCCCTTCGAAGTGTTCCCCTGTAGTCTCCATTAGAGCCCTACTATTATGGCAGCAGCTCCTGCTGGACCTATGGAATGCCAGTCCCGCTGCAGGGTTCTACACTAGTTCCGTGCAGGGCTCTAGGCTCCAGTCTTTATCCTCTCACTACAGAAATACTAGGTCTGCTGTCCCCAAGGGAACAGCTTGTATGAGTCAATGCAGGATCAGCACCTTGCTTAATACTACAGCAGTGAGATATATTTGTGGTAAAAACAATAATTTTTATTAGCAAAGAGTCAAGAGACAGTGAATAAGGATAATGGAAACAAAAGGTTACATATAAAACAAAGTCATAATGTGCTTTCTAGAGATTAAACTAACAGGCTAACCCCGTCTAAAGAAGTTTATCTTATCATAAATGTCCTATGCAGCATTGCAACACAGACTGGTTGTGATTTCTTTTTCATGAATGTAAACCGCTGTCCGTTTACTTCCTAGGTTGGGGAGGACGGGGTGTCTTTTTTGTTGCCCAAACAAAGCTTTGAAGTTCATGTTAAAATAAGGTTCTTTTTCCCCGTTGTGTACCTATACCTGTTAGTTCTTTCTGTTGACTTCACATCTCTCTGTTGATTTAACATGTAAGCGTGCCTCCCTCCCCGTAGCCTACAATGCTTAATTTACATGCCGACAGAGAGACAGGAGCATAAACATCCAATGTCTGATAGAAAGCCTGTCTTAACTCTGCCTTCATACAGACTTTAAAACATATTTGCAATATATACATAACTCCTTTATATAGTATCTGTGAATACATTTCACAACTATATTCGTGACCAGTATGACCCTGGCTGTCATCTAAACCTCCTATGGCATTCTTTGATTAACTAGAATGTACATACTATACCAGAATTAGGATATTCTTGTACTCTGCCCCCCCTTGCGAGTTGGCATTGAGGGGTTCTTGGATCACAAATACCTACGTGTGGGATCATTCAAACAGCAAATAATTTGCCTTTTATGCTGTTTGTTTACTCTTTAAATCCTCTTAGCTTGGATACCCTAGCTGTACTGTTTAGTTTCACTCCTTGTTTATCATCTCTTTCTGATTCTTTGGACATCCAAGTTTTGGTCTTCTGTCACAAAGCAAAAACAAGTGGTGGTCTCCAAGCAGTGACACTTCCTGGGAATTGGAACTTAGTCCAGAACACATTCAGGCTTTTCAGAGATTATTTTTCTGCAGACTAAAAACACCCCAAGCACCTCAGTCCACACTGCATGGCTGCTTTGTATTTTTTAAAATGTATCTTAGATTCAACTTGCCATTACATTTGTACAGAGTAGCAAAACAGGAGGGGCAATGAACATACAAGAGTACAAAACTAGAATCAGAAGAGATTAGAGATCTTGTGTCTCCTGGCACTGTGGGAAGATCTAATGCAAGTAAAGTCATACAGTCAGAGAAAAAATATAGATGGCGGGGGGGCAGGGTCAAGCAGTCACATCCATCAATTTAAAACTACTTTATTTTCATCTTGTTTCTTTAATTTTGTGTAGTCAAGTGCTCCAGTTGTTGTAGGGGAGCTATAGGACTGAGGCTGGAAGGGGAGTTGGACCATGCAGAATTTGAGAATGGGTGCGCTAACAGCTCATCAGTAGATCTCAAAGGACTTTACAAAGGAAGCAAATATTATTTTCTGCATTTTACAGACATGGAAATTGAGGCATAGAGGT